CCTCCCCGGATTAATATCCTCGCGCCATCGTCTTGTTTTTATTCGCGTATTACTTCTGTCACTAATAGTTGTCGTCGTCGTCGTCATTGCAGTACGAAATATAATATATATGTATATATATAAATATAAATATATACGAGTATATATTATATATAATACACATACACACACACACACACACACACATATATATATACGTGTATAAATACATGGGGCATTGACGCATTGTTTCTTATACAATATTATAATATAAATATTCCAAAGTTCACCAACGAAGGAGGAACGCATCAAAGTTTTTTTTATACAATATAATATCTCGTTTTGATTACAATATGCGCGTGAGTCATACAAAACTTACAGGAAAAAAAAATTATAAAAAAAAAAAAGTAGGATATCAAAAATTAAAACTCACTATGGGTATACTGTAAATGGATTTTTGAATATATGTCATAAAATTCCAACACGCGTCAAAATCCATGAACATTTTCGATATAAAAATATTTTAAAATTATTTGCAAGCTTGTTATAAGCGTTTATAATATTTTTAATATTTATACACGTACTTTGACACGTTTATAATATTTTGAGTACTTTAACACGTTTTCAAAGTGTAGGTATAATAATTTTTATTAAGACAATTCGAAAAATTATACAAAGGATTTTTTGTTGATATATCTACCTTTATAATATTATGCAATTTTGTATTGTTACTATTTTAATCTCGAAAGTGTTATAAAAATATTTAATRCTAACATGTACTATTGTTTTTACTCGTTTACTAAATATAGAACAAGTATAATRTTATTATACGATCAAAAATATTATTTGAATAATTAAATATTATATTTGCTCGGAGTAATTAAATCAAATCAAATATTAATTATTAATGCATAAAAAAAATGTTAAGGAGCATTGCGTTTTTAWGTTTGTCAAATTAAGTAAGGTATAGCTTATATATTATAAAAAATAAACACTATAATGTGTTAAACAATTGCAAGAAATGCCCTTTAACTTAACGCTTCGCATATTTTTTCACCCAAACCTATATAAAACGTTATGGAGAACGCATTAATGTCATTGGAGAGTTTCCGTTATACGCATTTGTTTTTAATTTCTTAATGCTATATAATATATAGGTAAAGCATGTGCATATATACGTATACGAGGGTATAATAATATCATATATGATATTATATGTGAATATGTGATCATGTATGGTGCGTATATTATAATCTTATTGTGTAAAGAATTCCAAAGATTAAAGATATTATATTATACGAAAAAGTATTTAATAATAATACATTGGAAATGGCGTGTGTTTTATATTTGTACAATGATTTCGTCTATACAACTATAAAGATAAACTCTAAAACAAAATACGTGTTTAACGAAATATCGTAGTCAAATAATAAAAAATATAAAACAAACATTGATCCTGCGGCGTTCGATTGCGAAAGTCTATAAAAAGAGAATTAATTGTGTCAAATAACTAAGAAGTATAGATAATTTGTCCGCGTGTCTTACGAACCTGTACAGCTGCAGTGCGAAAACATCTAAAATGAACATTAAACCCGAAATAGAGTACAATACACACACACACGCACACACGTCGAAAGATATTATTATTATTATTACTATTATAGGTCGTACATGCAAATCATCACACACACATTTGTGGGCTCGTGCATACCCTGTGTGTGTAAATATATGTATGTATAGAAGTGTATGGTAAACATATATATAAGAGCAGGTAGTTAATACGATAATAATAGAAAATCGTATATGTGAGGGTGAGTGTGTGTAAGATACGATGAGATGACGACAAAGACAAGGGTGCGTGGGAGGGGCGGGTTCGAWGTCGCGGAGAGGACGGGAGGGGCGCGATTGGCGGACGGAAATTTCCGTGTACTTTAACGACTTCCCTTGTTTTGTTCGACCGRCCGCCGCCCGCGTGTTCTTATTGGTCAGCGTTCGCCGCCGTTGCCGTCTTTTCCGGCATACACCACCGTCGTCGTCGCCACAACTTTCTTTCCTCCCCCATCACCTCATATCCGTCTGCCACCGAATCAACCCCGCTTAATAGCCGAACAATAACGTTTTAAAATCGTATTTGGTATTATGATTTTTTTTTTTTGTCAGATTTTAAGGAATTCTACACAGCAAATCCGTTTACCCCTTGGTTAGGTGGGACGAGGCAACCAAACGTACGGCCTTGTCACATCAGTTACGCATACGCTGTAATCTACACTTACGTAATTATAATAATGTTATATCTTTTTGATTTATTTTTTAACCACGATAACACCGGAAGAGAATTTTGACTTAACTCAAAAATGTAGCACTGTTTATAATTATTAAATCTATTGCTTTTGTTGCAAAGACAATGACAAAAAAAGACTTTTTTGGTCAATGTCGATAATGTAATAAAAATATTTCATCAATCCTCCTCCCAATAGTTGYTAAACAGAATTTATCTTTCATATTTTTAAATAAAGTACACGAATTTCAACAGTTTGAACAATATTACTACAGAACTCGACTTAAGTAATGTAGATACGATTTTTAGTGAAACCTACAATATTAATATTATAAAAATAACAATATAAGATAATTGATTGAATACTTAATATTTCTAATCGTGATAATATATTATKGGTATGAGAATACAATTTATTTGTCGACACAATTCYGACAGAATCGCCACTATATTTTATAATGCTATTTGTAGTACTCAAATTGGATTAATCGTGTTTGAAACCGTATACTTACATAAAGTTTAAAACTGGGCCACTTGTGAAATAATAGTTTTTCAATGGTTTATTTTATTGTGCAAAACATAAGGGGTTCAATTGCTATGGTTCTGATGCGTTAAAATAAATTATATGGCAAAACATTGAAACACTAGAAAATATATTTTTATGTTGTGTGCCACGGCACACGGAGAATGTTTGATTCTTTTAAAATTCATCTCGGTGTTAAATTTAAGTAGTACACTATAAGTCATGACATCTACCGGAGAAACAGAAATTGTAAACTCTGTTGATACGTTGCATAATGTTATATTATATGATTAAAATTATCTTGTTGTTATCCTTATAAAAAAAAACCGCTGATTCAACTTTTAAACAAAAAAATACGCTTCTTAACTCGAACATTAATTATTRAATTGAAAATAATAGAATGGTTTGCAATTTTTTTAAATGACTGTAATTACCGTATTATATATTAAAAAGAAATATTACTCATAGAGCGCGCCACTGGTACGACGTATACTATTATAGCCTAATAATAAATTACCCTCCGTATGATGTGTTATTCGTATAATAAAACACAGAATAACGCAAAAAATATGTTTATTATACGAATAATATATGTGACTAAAATCTTAGATAAATATATTTTATATATGTAATATATATATATAGCTTACACATTAAGTAATATTTCATTAATACCTAAAATAATACGTAAAAAAAATAAATAATTATTTTTTATACATTTATTTTAATTTACCTACATCAAGTTACTTAAGATAGGTATATTAAACACTAAAATAAGGCCTTTAAAATACATTACATAACAAATAAGCCCTTTTTTAACGTAGTAACAATGGACAATTTTTAGGAAGCTGCAATAGGCATATCTAAGTGAAAATTACTCGAATAATATAAAATTTTGGCATAATTTGTTACTATTAAGTTTGAAGGTACGTAAATATAAGTACGTAAATAAGTAAAATGTATTAAAATTGAGAATAGGTATGGCGGTGATTGGTGRGATTTAAATAAATAGTTAACATGAATTTAAAAAATAATTGWCTAAAAAAAGTATTTTATGTATTATATGTAAACGCGATCTTCTAAATCAACAATATTAATATATTATTTTGTAATTAGTCATACATTTTTCTATAAATATTTAAAAAAAAACTTAAATTTTTAATTGATAAAAACGCGAGTAAAAATCAATGTACCTATTTTTAAAACATTGTCGATAAAATAATGTAATTTACGTTGTTATTAAATATGAAAATTATGTAAAAATAATGGTTGTCACAAAAGAAATWACCAATTTTATAGTTTCTATTTTAAGCTATGTTTTAGATTTAATAAATTATCATTTATCGCAATTATTTTTAATAATAATTATTAATTTAAATTTCTAAATTTATAATAATTACGCGACTATCACAATATTATGATTTTTTATACTTAAAAAGGTTAATGAATATTTTAGAATTTAATTTTATGTTTAATGAATGAACAATTAAATAATGTAAATTAAATTACGTGTTCGATAAAATTCTTGTGTTTAAGTATCCGTTGTATAAAAACCGAAAAACAAAATAATAATTACCCATGTTCATTTATTTGTATTCTGAACTTTGGCGAATTTTTATAAATTTTTAATTATTCCTGTATTTCTAATTATTTAATTTAAAAAAACACTAACATAATTATTGATAATTTTTTTTTTCGTGTTACAGTTAATTGTAAAGTGTGATTTTATTTTTTAAGATTAGCGTACAGTAGTTAACTTGTGCCATAATGTTAATATTGGTTTAAATATAAAAGACGGGACACCTACCTCCCTATTATATTATTAGAGTAATAAAATATATATATAATATAAGAGTAATAAAACCGGTTACACCCCCTTTTTATTGTTAAGAGATTTGTTTGTATTCAGCATCGAATACATAATGACAACTGCAAAAAGTATGAGCGTTGAATAGGTACGAAAAAGAATTAAGAGTTATGAATATTAAAAAAAACTTTGATTGTTTTTTTCCGTCACGTGCCTACTAAGTAAGTTATTTGTTAAGATTCAAAATAAGAGGTTGTACGTAAAAAAAATAAAATATAATATGTATRAAAAAAAATTATCATAATTTTCTACGTRAACAAATTTTCATGATAGGCWCGAACAGGTGCACCGCGAAAATTTCATTTTTACCAGAACAATAAAATATAYTAAAATAATAAAAAAAAATCACTTACTCGACTGATGGATAATTATAATATTATATAGTTGACAGCGTTTTGTGGTCACAGCCGACAGCTAGAGTAAACTGCAACGTTGTCCGATTTTTCACCAACACTGCGTCCAGCAGATGATTGAAAAAAATATTTAAAAATTTAAATTAGAAAAATTAAAATCAAAAAACCGAACGAAAATGAAAAAAAAAATATTGGCGACGGATTATTATAGTAGACTGTGGTATGTAGTAGAACGCTTAGTGTACGAACCGCGCGAGTTGTCGACGAAACGAAAAAACTAATGAAAAAAAATGAAAAATAATATTAGTCTGTGGTGTGTTATTGTTTTAGCGGGATCACGCGAGCGACGGAACGAGAAGACGACGATGTGCCGGCATTACGTTCGCGGACCGAGTGAGAGACTGCCGCGGCACTTAAGACTTACGCCGCCGCCGGTATTGGTATAGTGGTGACGGCGGCGGCGGCGGTGGCGGTGTTCGCCCGACTTTGGCGGCGCCCGGCGACAAGACGCGCGCGGCGCCACGGAGGGCTTTACCCGCAGCTTTTCCGGGCAGGCGCGCTGTGTAAAAAAACCGCCCCAAGAATGAGACGCGTGGGCAGGCGGTGCTGGGTGCGCGGGCGGCGGCGGGCCGGCTCTCGGGCGCCATCTGCCCGACCGGTCGTCGGTCGCGCCAAAACGTTCGTCCCTGATCACCTAACCGCCTAGGATCCCGACGGCGCCAGTGTCCGGCGCTACGTTCAGAACGTCGTCGTCGCGACTGTTCTGCGCCGACCTATCGTCAGGAACGTGACGATAATAATAATAATGCGAGAATCATTCTACGACGAATGTTCAATGATATTATACTATAGTGATAATAATATTATATTATATAACTTTAATTTAATACTATTGTTATTATTTYATTTAGATTTCGACAAAAAAAATTGCAATCCCGATTTAAAATTTAATCTCCGTCTTACAACATGAGAAAATATTCGTTCTGCAGAGTCAATTTTGTATTGTGTGGTGTTAGGTAATCGGTCAATATGGGTAATAAATGAGATCATAGGTTGGCTATTTCTTTACAACAAAACAATTTTTTAAATATTTAAATCTAAAAATGCTCTTAAATCCTGATCTATTCAAAGTCATAAAACCAGGTAAATCTGTTTTTAACTTAATTGAACCTATTCACGAGAATGGGACCGTCGTCTGAACAAAACAGGTTCCGACTGCACGTGTCTCATATATACATTGTCATAATATGCTGGCTGTCATGTGAAGGGGATTTGACGGTCCCGTCGATCATTCGATATGTGCCAAACGGATTTTGTTATAACCTTTTAAAATACCTATTTGAATGATAACCGATATATCAAAACAAATTATTATGGTCAATATTATCTATAGTATTAGTGTAAACACAAAATTAGTTCAACTAAACAAATTGTCTMAGATTTTTTTTTTTAGACTGTGACAAATGACAAAACATGCGGGTGGGGTGTCCTCTCAACAACACCAGAAAGATTGGTCGTTGAATACAAATAACTTTATTGTGTTTGAAGGTTCTAGCCGAGACARACGGTTGTGCAGGGTTTAGTACAGGAAAGCATGCACTTTGCACGTGCGTGTAATGGCATTATAATACAATAGGTTTATTATAAGGACAATCGCGATATTTGCTTTCAAAGAAAGAGTTTCCACCCTCCACTCAAAATATGAGTGTTTATTTTTTTCCATGTATAGCGTATAGCATGTGAGTGTGCAAAATATTTGTCGTAAAGGTAGACGAGATTGAATTTGACAGATATTTAAATACTCTATTTGAGTGTTAAATAATATACACGTATAATTTTTCTTGTATATATACAGACACCCATGTTAGAATAAATTAATCCAAATCCTATAGTACATATTATGATGTAATACTATCGCACAGTGCCAGCCCATTATATTAGATAAGGTATATCATTAGTCATTATTCATTGAGCATTTATGAATTGATTTTAGTATAATCTTTTATACGCATATTTTTTTCCGGAATATTTTCAGAAAACCACGTTATATTAGTTTTATCCAAATCAGCATGCCAATGATATTATTATAATACTACTGGCGCAGTGTCCGCCCACTATTAGATAAGTACATCATTACATATTATCTTCGTATCGTTTTATTTATTTATTTTTTACATTTTTTTAAGCGTTAAGTAAATTTYAATATACTATATTATACGCTATTATCTGGAATCCGAACGAGTAAATATCACTTGTGCCGAGAGATATGACAATATCTATAATAATTACAATAAGTCATCAGGTCTAGAAAACTTTTTCGTTTATGAATTTCTGAATATGCACTTATTTTTAGTTGAAYATGAAATTACAATAGAATTGTTTCTTTAAAAACTGTTAAATTTATATTCGTTACGGCAGCATTACAACAGTTAAATATTATGATACCTACTATAACATTTATGCATTTAGTAGGTATATATTATATGGTATATAACTATATAAGACAT